ATGCCAGGCTGTAGAACACTTCAGCTGGTAGGGATTAGGAGAGTGCTCTGCCTCCATTAGGTCAGTTATAAACCATCGTGAGCTATTTTTCTATTAAAGAAGAGGTCTCCGTTAATGAATTGTTGTGTGTGGGAATTAATGCTGGATGAGTCCCCTGTGGCTTTCATGATGAGGGTCAAATAAAATATTAATGAAATTAAAACAAACCGTCCCTTGCTCTTCCCAAGTACCTTCCAGATGGGTTTCTCTAAGCATTGGTCAGGGAAGATGTGGAGCCCCACAAGAGACAGGCCAGTGTCATTACTCCCTTTCCATGGATGGGGAGGTGGAGGTGATGGAAAGCAGTGACTCCACAGTCACATAGTCCAGCAGCGGGGCTGCACAGGAGGTCCAGGAGTTCTCCCATCCTGTGCCTTTGCTCACATCCCTGGGTTCAGCTCCTTTCTGAGAGAAATTGAAGTGAATCCAGACTCCTCCCACGCTGGCCAGCTGGAAGCTGGTCTTTCCAGATCTGGGATAGCCTTAGGAGTCCCGAATCTCAAGTCGTCGTATGCTTATTCACATAACTTCCCCATGCTTCCAGATCCGAGAATATAACCCAGGAGATGTAGCTGTTTTCTCCTGATGCCTCATCCATGGGACACATTTCCTTGTCTTGGTGGATTGTCCGTTCCAGAGGCCCAGTATAGGAGCTCGAGTGTCAGGCTGGGGAAGGACAGTCTCTTCTTGGTTACACCAGTGCAGTGCAGTGCAAAAGATCTTGAGCTGGATGGAGCCAAGCAAACCAGCTTCAGGAGCAGCGTCCCTGAATCACCGCAGTCCAGCTCTCAGGCTAACACAGTCACGGTGCTTTCAGACTTTAAACTAGGAACTGTTTAAAGCATAACAGTTAAAAATCTAGGGTGCTTTTGGACATAGCTCAAAGCTGTAAATTTATTCAGAGGGAGCCCAGAAATCTTCCTGCTGCTGCTGCGAAGTGTAAGGATGTACTCTGCATCTCCGGGCACGACTCTGTCTGGTACACGGAGAAACAGTCGAGTGTGTGGAAAAGGAGACCTAGGTGGGCACTCCAGACTAAACAGAGTTGATTCTGGTTGCGTCACTCAAAGCTAAATGCGTTTTCTCGCACGTATTTGTGTACCTTGGGCACCGAACAGCCTGAGCAAGACTTGTCACATTTTCTGCATAACGTGCTGGTGCATGTATGCATGTGCATGTGCTCTGGAGAGGGCAGGGCTGTGTGATAGCCCTTCAGCAAAGGCCACTGGGGGCTCATTACGTAGAGCGAGCTAATGACAGCACACGGCCAGTATAAGGATGGTGTAACTTACTGCACGCACAAGTACAACGAGGAACTTGGGAAGTCAGATAAATTGTCTTTAGGAACATTTTAAAGCACTTTCCCATTTTTTTTCTTGTCCTCCTTATCTCTGATTATCAAATGAACAAGGAAGTGGAAATGGTAAAATGATTTGAGAGGACAATCAACATAATGGTAACCATTCCTTCCCTGCTTCCTCCAAAAAATGATTGTCGGGCCCTGACTGCCTTGCGTTGTGTGGGTGTCACTCTAGAAATTGGAAATCAGAGGTGACAGTGGCCAAATTTTTTCCCCTACTGATAGGAAAGTTTATTGCATTCTTGGTAAAGATCATTGCATCTGTAAATAATAATTCACGAAACAGTAATAATTTTGTCATATTTCTATAGCAAACGGCAAATGTCCTGCAATCCACTCACTACTTCTCCCCTCTCACCTCCTTGTCTGCCTTTCAGGATTCACTGGGATCTCGTTGTGTTGCTGGTATAAGCCTTCCTTGCAGAAGAACTGCTCTTGCCCATCTCCGCTTCCCTGGGAACAGCCGAACGGGGGTGCGGAGTGATAAAAATTTATGTTTTCATCAAACCGGGCCAAGGAGAATGGGGGTCCCACACCCAAAAGAATGAAGACACGACAGAACAAGGACTCAGTACGTGAGATGGGAGAGGGGGGTGGGACCCTGGGGCCAAGCTGGAGCTGTGCGTTGGGGCTGAGGCTCACAGCAAAGCTTGTGGATATGAGTTTGGCGTAATGGAGTGCCAGGGGTTCAGGGGCTTTGGGAGGCTGGGGGAGAGGCAGGAATGGAGGGAGGTGGCACAGCAGGACTGATCCAGTGATCCCTCTCTTAGATGTCAATGCGGAGTGGACGGAAGAAAGAGACTCCAGGGCCCCGAGAGGAGCTCAGGTCCCGGGGTCGAGCTTCCCCTGGGGGCGTCAGCACCTCCAGCAGTGATGGCAAGGCTGAGAAATCCCGACAAGCCACAAAGGTAGTATAAGCTAGTGCGCGAGTATGGGGTGCCTGAGGATTGCCCAGACCGGGTAGGATCAGCTTGGAGGTGCAGGGACGCAGACCAGAAGGGATCCACCGAGGAACCCATGCTGGGTTAGCTCTCTGGAACGGGCGGGATCTGCCTTTCCTCTCATCCTCAGCATCTTGCCCTTCCCACCATCTCCCCAGAACTGGTCTTCTGTCTCACCAGCCCTTTTTAGTGCTAGTTTTTGCCATGTTCTGGCTCAGTCTTGCCCCACTGTCCGCTGCCCACTGTCTGCCAGGCTCTTCAGCACACACGCCGTGGTGGATGTGTCTCACCTGCTGCAGGCTATGAAGGCCTGACAGGGCAGGAAACTTCCCCGTGACCTTCCCACCTCCCTGTTCTCCTCCTCTCCCTTGCAGAAAGGCCGGGTGGAGGAATCCTGCACCCCCAAGGGCAGCAAGCAGGTCCGAACAGAAGAGATCTCGGAGAGTGAAGGGGAGGACACCAATGCTCCCAAAAAAACCAAAACCGAGGTGAGTTCTCCCTGCAGTGATTGCTGGCATGTCCTGGGTCCAGGGCAAAAGAGCGTCCTGCTCCCTGCCTGTGCTGCTCATGGCTGACCAGCTTCAGGTTCCAGCTGCTCAGGAGCCCTGGCACCTTGGGTTTCGCACCGCAGCTCTTCCACGGGCAGAACCTAAATGGCACCCGCCTGGCTACAAAAAAGCCACCAGGAGCGACGATGGGGCAGGCAGAGGCTCTCCATCTCGTTCACCTTGTCTGAAGGACTGCTGTGCTCTTGGACTGTGCACGTGCCCTGCCTTTCCCCGGCTGGGTGGCAGGAGCCTGGCTGCGCTGGTGAGCTGCGGTTACCCCACTTGCTCCGCATGCAGCTGCGGGACGGGTTAGACTCAGCCTCTTTGGCTCCCACCGAGCAGTGTGAAACGGAGGTGCTTGTCATGGTGGGCTCCAAGTGGTGGTTGTACCAGTCCTGCTGGGCGTGCAAAACCTGCTTGCACACACAAACTCCATAATTGTGGCAGAGCTTGTCCAAAATGCCAACAGCACTGGGCTGGATCCGTGGTCAGACAGTTGGAGGAAGACTCTTGTGCTTCTCAGTTCCTTGTTAGTCTGTTCAGGGAGTTGGGCTTAAAAGGCCTGTGGACATGGGGATATTGTGCGCGTTGTGACATGATTGTAATTAAACCACTGTGGTTACACCTATGCAATTTCTCCACACGGACACTCTGTTTAGCCTCTCTTGTAAGCCCTGAGGCTCAGGAGTGGCACTTGTTAATTGTCCGTGCTCAGTGTTGAATCGCCAATGCTTCTTTGCCTGAGGCAAGAGGTGGTGGGGAGGAGCAGGGATTGGGCAGCGCTGGGCGGGGGGGCTCTGGGAGGCAGGGAGTGGGGCAATGAGAGAGGGCCGGAGGGCAGCAGGTCTCCTCACCCGGGGACACCTCTGCAGAGACAAGAAGAGCGATTGTGGGGCTGGGGGCTGTGCTGGGCTGTGCTGGGAGCACTGTGGTGTGAGCTGCTGTGTGCCACTTGGTGGTGTCATACCCTGGCCAACGGCCCATCACCGTTGGTGGTGGTGCCAGGACCTTTCCTATCTATTCACTCTCAACCTGGTGCGTACCAGTTCCCTGCCCTCCCTCGCTGCCTCTCTACACAAGGTACCCATCACTACCTCCTTCCCGAGCGTGGGATGCTCCTGAAGGGCCCGAGAGCACTGAAGGGGAGGCGGGAGGGCTGGTATTATTTGTACCTTGCCAGATGATATCTCCTTCCCTCAGTGGGGTTTTCTAGTGCTGAGGCTGGCAGAGAAAAGTCAGCAAGCAAGTTCTCTGGGGACTTGAAATGTGTCGTGCGTGGTCTGGGAGGCCACATAATGCCTGTCTCCTTCTTCCTACTTCAGGAGTTGCCCTGTCCTCCATCCCCGTCCGATGTTGACAGCCTTGATGGCCACAGCTTCAACGATGAGATGAGCAGTGACCCGCGGGACATTGACCAGGATAACAGGAGCACCTCGCCCAGCGTCTACAGCCCCGGCAGCGTGGAGAATGACTCCGACTCCTCATC